TCCTTGCTGTCTCTCTCGCTCTCTTCCACTGGCAGGTGATGGGGTGAAAGCCAGTAATTGCTCAGAGTGCAATCAATAAATCACAGTAATAGAATTACATTTGCTGTTGCCATATTAAGAACTGCTCTTCTCTCTCTCTCCCTCCAGTTGTTTGCTTTCTAAACAGTCTGAAAACACTGGAAAAGGGAGAGGAGACTAATATTCTCAGTTGCTGCCCCCGCCTCCATCCAGGCCCTAGGTGCAAAGGCTGGTTGAAGGAGCAATAGCTCTGGGGCTGGGATTGGGGGTGGGAGCCTTGCTAGGTAGAGTGTCGGCTCTGTGGAGCGATGGGCTATTATTATGCTATCTGCAGCCATCTGCTCAGGGGTTTCATTAGCTCCCATTAGCTTAGCAAGAGGGGGGCTGGTCACAGCTTGGATGGGAGGCCTGGGAGGGCAATTAGGTGGCACTTGAGCTGTTTGAGCTGGGTCTCGTGTGCGATTCCTGCCGGGAGCTGTCTGAGGGCTGCTGGTCCCACCCCAGAGGCAGCTGCATTGCAGCACTAGATGAAGCAATTCCAGGCGGTTGGTGGAATGTGCTCGGCTGGTCTCGAGGCGCAAAGTGACTGATGGTCAAGTGATCTGCGCTTGGGGCAGGGAGGCTAGAGAGCCAGGCCTCGATGCCTGGAGGGGCCCTGGTGCTGTGAGTACTGTGTGATGACCCCATTGCTCAGAGGGTGGATGCATGATCTGGATGCCCCCCAGTCTGCTACCCCTACCCCCAACCCCTCCCCACCCTGTACCCCTGCTCTTTGCCTTCCCCGCACCATGTCCCTCTGGACCAGGCAGGGCCCAAAATAGAAGCTCCTTCTCCTCCGAGACACCGGCTGCTTTCCTCCCTGCACAGCTCCCAAGAGGCTGGGGGATTGCTTTCATCTCCTCCACCTCAGCGCCCCCGCTCTTGGGAGCTCACTCATACCTGGGTCTTTCCCAGCCCCTGCTGCAGCCTTGGCTTCTTTTAATCATTGCTTAAAGCTTGAAGCTTCAGAGCGGAGCTGGTCTCTGCCTCACCTGCTGCAGAGCAGAGTCACCCAGCCATACCCCAGCCACAGCCGGGCAGCACCCAGCTCAGCAAGATCAGGACCCCGCCCTGTGGCATGATGATCAATGTGATGCTTCAGGGGTGGGGGATTGCAAATAGAAGAGCACTGGGTTAGTGCAAGGGAAGTACAAGCCAGACTTGCTCCGGGCCTGGGCACACAGTGCTATGTACCCAGGTAGTCTGCCTCCCTGCTGTGCCCACCAAGGCAGCGAGCAGGAGGCTGCTATTGCTGCCTCTCGACGCTCAGTGGCAGAAGAGGCTGTTTTGCCCTGGAGACCACCTATTCTGGGGTAAGCTGCACACACACCAGGTTTGCATCCATGTGGTTTTACCCCGGGTTGCTTCAGGGGCTGGTGCGGTCTGTCTGCTCCTTGCTTGCACTGCACTAAAGCCCCATGGGAGCAAGCCTGCCACGCGCAACTGTGTATGCACCAGAACTGCACATGCAGCAAGCACACACTGCCTGCCTGCGAGGGCATGTCTTGCCAACACGTACATCACTTGCAGGGATGAACATGGCACCTATATGTGCCTGTCTGCACTCGCATACCCACATACACGCACACAATTTGCATGCGCATGCAAAAACAAGTTACCTATATGTTCCTTTCCATGTGAGTGCCTATGCATATACATCATCTGTGTATACCTGTCTGAATGAATCCACCCTCCTCCACATGCACATGCACACACGCATCACCCATTCACTCCCGCCTGAATACACACACCCACGCTTCTCACCCATTCCCCCCTTCCATGAGCACTGCGAGCATGTCTGCCGTTCCCCTTGGCACCGTGGCAGGGGCAGGCAGGAGGGCTCGACCGCCCACTTCGCGGCTCCCAGACGGCACTGATTTGCATGGCTTTGCTGCCGTGCGCCTAATTAATCTCCTTAAGCCTTTGGCTCTGCTTTTGTGAAGCCCAAAGCAAGTGCTGTCAAATCCATGAAGGATTCATTAGGAGAGGGGTTCATTAGAAGGGGGGGGCGGGGGGAGTGTGTGTGTGTGCACGTGTGTGCATGCACAGACACCGGGCAGAGCTGAATGGAGCCTCCTGACTTTATTCCCAGCTGGTGACTTCTGAAGTTCAAGGCCGTGGGGTGAAGCCTCAGGTCCTCACCAGTTACATGGAGGAGGATCAAGTCTCTCCCCTTCCCTCTGTCCCTCCCTGCTCTCTGCTCCGTGCAACCAATCCTGTACCTACTCCAGACACCATCTGTCAGACCTGCAGGCAGGAAGGGGACCCGCTTACTGGGCATCAGGCCTTCTCCGTGATCCAACTCACAGGGATCAAGGGGGTACTTAATGCTGCCTTCCTGAGAGCTTGTCCCCATGATGTGTCCCTCTGCAGGCCCCAGAGCACAGGATCTCAGGGAGGGTTGGGTACTCCCTGGTTTCCCCATCTGGAAAATGGACCCAAGCCCCCAATCTCCTCAGTAAGGCACTTGGACTTGCCAATGGAAAGCACCAAATCAGGGCTAAGGCTCATGGTGGGGATGGCTAGTGCAGTGTCAGCTCATCCGCCCCGTGAGACGCGTTAGTGTAAACAGGCATGGCGGAGGGGGAGGATGTGGGTGCTGTGTGCACAAGAAGGGCTCAGGAACCCGGGTAGAAGAGGCCAGGATAAAGCACCTTTCCGGGGCATCAGCATGGCCTTCCACCTCTTTAAAGCCCTAGGGCTTCATCCCCTCCCAAGTTCGGCCACCTCTGGGGTGGAACGTAGCAGCTTTTCGCCAGCCCAGCTGGCTGCAGCATGTCCTAGCTCATCTACACTATATTTAGAGAGCCAGCCTGTGGGTTACAACCCAGGGGAAGGTTTAGGGCAAGAAAAGAACAGAAGTGGCCTCTGTAATTCTCAGCCTGCTGCTATGCTTCTCTGCCCAATGTCCTGCCTGCAGAAGTGCCCAGGCAGGGGCAGCTGCTCCAGCCAGAGCTCAAGTCCCACCTCCCACGTAGGGCAGGAAAGCCTCATCTGCACAGGCAAGACCCCTTCCTCCACCGGGCTGGTCCTAAATCAAGGTCTCCCACCCAAGGAACAACCATGCCCAGCCCTGCTTAGCATAAGGCAAAGCTTCTTTCCCCAGGTTACCAGGTTGAGCGGGTTTGGGGTTGGCGCTAGTCTCTCACACCCACACACGCACCCTGACCAAAAAACCAGTGAGCTCCTAGTGCATCTCTGTGCACCTTGCCCAAGGCAGGGGGTCCCACAGGCCCTACCTGTTCCCAAGGCTGGTGGCTCCTGCTGCTTCCTTCCCTATTATACCATCCCTGCGCTGCCCAGGCCAGGGCTGGCTGGGGCAGGTGCTCGTGGCTCCCCTCGCTAGCCTGCAGCCCCGTTCAGCTGCTCATCACATCTGCTGCTCTCACCACTTCCTCTGGGCGCACAGCTCCGAGCGCGCGGCCCTACCTGCTCGCTGCTCCCCTCCGCAGGCCGGCAAGGGGGTGGGAGGTTGGTGTCTATCAGCTGAGGGGAAAATAACCCTGCCCCAGACTGGGTAGGTGGTTATCTATTTATTTTGGGCCAGCCAGAGATAAAGAGCAGCCCCCACCGCCCGCCCCCTGCCTTCCAAGAGGTTCCTGGAAAATCAAATGTAACTGATTAAAAAGGAATCAGCAAATGATTAATTTGCCATGAGCAGCGGGAAAGTCCACGGCTCCATGCAGGACTCCTGTCCCCCCCCCAGGGAAAAATGGGGAGGGAAGCATAGCCGCCCCCGAGACCGATGCTGGAGAGGTGACCTCTGTCTTTCCTCCCCCGGGGGGTGGCTTTCCCACCCTGTGCCCAAACTCGCCCCTTCCCGGGTCTGGCTTTAGTAACTTGGGTATCAAGATGGAGCAGGAACTGTTGATCAGATGTTGTGCCCGGGCACAGCCGCTCCTGCCTCTGCACTGCACCCGTGTGACCCTCTCGGCCACCTCGGGGTATCCGGGGTGGTGTGTGGGGGGCACTTAACTCCCTAAATAGGCAGGACTCCTATGGGTTGTAATGGGAGGAGAGACAGAGGTGACACTGAGTAGCTGTCGGCTAAATAGGCAGCGAGGACCCTGCTCCACAGTTCCAGATTTTGGGGCTGTCTGATCCCTGCAACCTGGAGGGTACAAAAAAAGACCCTTCCTCCTGTGGGGCTTTGTCTAGGAGACCTCCCGGGTGGCTCTGACAGCAGCCTTCCTCCATCTCAGCCCTTCCAGCCAGGCAGCTCTGGTGCCTGGGGCTGGACGCTTTGCAGCTCCCCGTTCACGTCCCATCCCATCACACTTCCCTCATCGTCAGCCCAGTTTGCCGTACAGCCGCCTGCATCAGTGGGGGCTCGATGCTGAGGACTTCAAAAGGGAGGAGCAGGAAAGGAGCTGGCGCTGAAGCGCCCAGGCCAGGGCTGCTGACACCCCCGGGGATGCATGGGGGCTTGCAAGGAGGTGCGGGTGGTTTCGCAAAAGTCAAGAGGGCAGAGGCAGGGAGCCGTGATGCAGAAAGTCAGTGTTTTGCCACTCCCTGGTGAGATGGCAACCCAGCGCCCTTCGCCGCCCTTTGAGTGCTTGGCTTGTGCCTCGTTCAGTGCCAGGGAAGGGGTCAGGGCCTGGCTCTGGTAGACTGTGGTAGAAAGGACAGGACTGGAGTGGGGGCAGGTTGAAAACCTGCAGTGGCATGAAGAGCTGAGCAGCTTGGGGGCTTGGGGGGGGGCGACTGGAAATACCCCCTGCCCTGCGCAAACCCCACTGCACCCAAGGGAAACTGAGTCATCAGGAAGTGAAAATGACCTGCGTTTTGGGCGGCAGAGAGACAGGAAGCAGCAGCAGAAGCCAGCAGCGCTCGCTGGGCCCGGAGGAACGCCGGGCGAGGGGGCTGCGGGGCGGCACATCCTTCCTTCTCCCACTCCCCCGTGCCCACCTCCCCAGGAAATGTCAAACGCTGGCTCTGAAATTCACTGCCGGCCTGTTTAATAAAGCAACGTTGGGCGCCAAAGGGGAAATTAGACCTCAAGATGGTGGAGGTGGTTTCCTGAGCCATGGGGGCAAGCAGCCGTGAGCAGGGGGGCTCCCTTGTGTCCCCCCAGGTGGGGAGTCTCTGCTGCTGAGAGATATCCCAGGCTACCTGTAGTGATGTGGGGATGGGCAGCTCGGAAGAGCCATATGGGTGCAGCAATGGGCACCGGGCACGGGGAACAGCTCCCAAGGGGCTCCCGGCACTTGGAGCCAAGGAGGGTCCTTCCAGGAAGGTGCATCAAAGCCTCCAGCTGAGCCTGCTCCACTGCTGCATCACTGGGAAATATCCACGATGAGAGGGGTGAGGAAATCAGAGTGCCGGACACCCAGGGAATAGGCTGGGGCCCGGATCCTGTGAGCAGTCGCCTTCTCGGGGCTGTGCGTGCCCGGACCCGGCGTCTGGAAAGCCGGCTTGGGGGCAGCGCGTCGGCCCAGCATGGAGAAGGCAGGCGGCCGGCGCAGGTAGGTGCTGGGATCCGTGCTGTTGTACCGGCCTGGCCCGGGCGTCTGTGCCAGGTCTTCGGAGTAGCTGCCTTTTTGGTGCCGCCCAGAGATGGTGAAGCTGGGGCTGGAGGGCTTGGCAGGGACCCGCGCGCCCAGCAGGGAGGGCAGGGCGTAGCGGTTGGGCGCGGGGACAGGGTCCGTCACGCGGCACGGGGTGCGCGCGCCCATACTGAAGGACGGTGCCTGGCGCCGGGTGGTTGGCGGGGCTTTCTCTGGGCTGTACGCACCCGGCCCGGGGGTCTGCGGGTGCCCTGTGGGAGACACCGCAGCCCGAGCTAGTGCAAGCAGGGAGAGGCTGCCAGGCCCAGCTCCAGTGCCGCTGCAATGGAGCTAAGAACATGGGGGATCTCCGCTCTGCATGCAGCGGCTGCACGCCCTGGCCCAGACCGAAGAACCAGGGAGGACGAGCTGCCCTCTCCTTAGGACTGTGGCACAGCGGTGCGGGGAAGAGCTTCCCCTTGGCACAAAGCGTATCAGGCTTATCCAGCTCCTTTGCAGGCAGCTCAGCGCTCCCCACAACACCCCCCGCCCCAGATGCAGAGCCCTCCCATGCACTGCTCACCTCGGGGCTTGGCCCGCGCCCTCATGGAGTAAGCTGGGCCCCTGGCCCTGCCGAAGCGGGTGAGCTGTGGCTCCACGTAATAGCAGGGACCCGGGCTGGCGTCTTTCAGGTACGCTGTTGACAAAGGGGGAAAGCATCAGGGCTGGGTTAGCACATCTCCCTGCCCGGCATCACCACCATTGCATTACACCTGGGGAGAATTTGGCCCTCCATGGGCATCACCCCGGTTTGCCTGTGCATTGGCTCAGGGCCCCATACTGATCCGACTGGGGTGCGTGGAGTCTCTCCAGCCAAACGCTGGCACGACCCCCTCTTAGGCAGGGTTAAATCAGGACTGTGGAATTGCACCAGTGTAAAAGCTGGGGCAAGCAGGATCAGATCTCGACCCTGGCTTCATCTGAGAGGTGGACGGGGCTGCGGTGAGCTGGGAAGACCTGGCCCCTGGGGTGCTCACTTCCTCCAGGGTCTTAGATGAGTTCATTCCCCACTGGGTAAAAGGGGACCGCAATACCCCCTGGCCATTTGAAACCACGCTGAGATCACCGCCTGCCAAGTACCTCTTCCCCAAAGAGTGGGTAGGATTCCCTTGGTGACAGAGCAGGTGGCCCCCAATGATCATGCCAGTTTGCAGGATTTTATTAGCTTCAGGGATGGATGCTGGGGTACACTGGTTCACTTGCACCCCTTTCATTCCTGCTCGACCCAAAATTTAAAACCACCTGCCTGGCCATGGCAGCAGCATTTCCAGGCAGGCAGGGCCGAGGGAGCCCCATTATAGTCTACCTGATTCCTTCTAACCTCTTCACTCCATAGGTGTTCACAAATGACCCTCTCTTCTTTTTAATGAGTTTGATATTCCACCAATCAAGCTAGCCTTTATTCTGCTGTTCTGCTGCCTGCTACCTGCTCCGGGTAAGGAAGTTCCCATTTCACAGCCAGGCAGGTTGTTTTTTAAACTCATTCCAGTACATCTTAGTTTTGGCTTCAGTCTTAAACTGAATAGCACAGCCCAGGCCCCTAACCTATTCGTAAAGCTTCTAGCTTGATTTTAGCTGGAGAAAAATGCGTGTTGTGATCTACACGATGATGCAGCTCGCCGTCTGCACCCCCCTTTTCGGGGGTCTAGATCTGCCCATGGTTAGCTGTGTGTTTTAACAGGGTCAGGACAGTGGTGGAGGGTGGACGCAGGGCTCCGAACAGCCGGACAGCTGGAGCTGGGGACGGGTGACAGCCTGGCCTTGGACCGCGAGCACCGAGAGGATGGGGAAAGCAGAGGGTCTGCTCCAGAGAGCGGCCGGAAGAGACTTACCGCTGTCGTCAAGCCGCCTGTGGAGGGAGTAAGCTGGGCTGGTTAACCGGGTGTAGTCATGGTTGACAAACCCAATGGTAGGAGGCAGGCTGTACCGTCCTGGGCCGGGGCCTGGCACCAAGCAGCAAAACAAACATGTGACACATCAGGGAACAGAGCTCGTATCTATAACAGCAGCATTGCCCAGTGGTTGGAGCACACAAGAGGAACAGGCAGGACTCCTGGCTGCGGCTCCTGGCTCTGGGAGGGAGCGGTGCCAAGTGGCCTGAAGGCTGGATGCAGAAAAGGCTTTCAGAGCCTGCTCATCCCAGCACCAGCAGGTGCTGCTTCCCGCCAGGAAGGTCCAAGCACCGTCACACCTCGAAACTGTACAGCGCTGGGACCCACCTCCCACCCTCACTCCCGGTGTGACCCAGCACTTCACAGACCCCGGCAGCTTCCCTAACCAGACATTGCGGCCGTGCCACATCCCTTCTGTCTCTGATGCAAGGCAGGTCCTTTTCTCCACTCCCCTGGTGCAAATGGGAAAACTGAGGCTCAAAGGGCAGCAGCCTGGAGGCAGGGCTAGAACACAGGGGGGTCACGGAAATCAGGTTTTCAGCATCCAAAGGGGCAAAACTCCTCTTTGGTCCCAGTCTGATCCCAGAAAGGAGCGGCTGAGAGCCAGACCCGGGCTATCATTTTATTGTGCCTGGAGCTGTACAAAAATGCAAGCAATGTCAGCCCGGAAATGATTCATTCTTCCCCAGGAATTTGTCCTCAGTAGGATCTGTTCCCCACAGGATCAGGGCCATGCTGTGCTAGGCCCCGTACCCCTGCGTCACATGGAGCCGGTCCCTGCTTCCAATCCATTTCTATCTCCCCCTGCCGCAGAGGAACCTGGGACCCCGGGATGAGCGTACCGGTCTCCCGGGCAGCGATCATGGGTGCCTTCCTGTGCTCTGCCTCTTGCAACCTGGCCGCAGCGTGGAAGCCCAAGTGGAGACGATGCTTTGAGAGCCTTGCTCGGGACATGCTCCCGGCCTGGCACCCTCCGATGTGCGGTGCCCGTGTTAACGGCACGGGTGGGACAAGAACGTCTGGTATGACAGCAAAGAGGAGCCCCCTGAGTGCCTGCTGCTGTGAAACCTAAGTCTCTTTGCGCTGCTGACACTCGGGCACTGATCCTTTGACACAAAGCAGGCTCCCTGGAAACAGATACGGGGCGGGGGGGGGGCTTTCTGTGCCACTGAAAGCTTATCTACAGCTCCCCCCCACACTCACCCACACGCAGCCTGCCAGCCCCCCGCCCCGCCCGGCAAGCACCACTGATGCTGGGCGAGCAGGATGATGGCAGACAGCTGCGGTGCCCTGCTCACCGGAGCGTGGTGCCTCCGCGGGGGGCTGCACCAGACCCGGTTTCCATGCAGGGATCGGTGCAAGATGAGGCAGAGCTGTCTGGCGTTTAGAGGCCGCGGCGGTGTTACGTTTCTGCCCATCTGCTGGATGTTTCCTGGCCCGGCGGCTGGCCCGGGTGATTAAGGTGCAGAGAGAGTAGTCTGTGTCCTTCATAGGACCAGGGTGAGCACAACAGCCGGGGCAGGCCTGGGACCCAGCAGCAATAAGTGTGCATCGCTCCTAGAAGCACAGCCGTACTTTGTGATGCCACCTGCAGCAACAATAAGGACCCCCAGGGAATAAGAAGAGGGCGTCAAGCCAGCCTCCAGCTTCCCTGGCTTTCCTACCCCCTCCTTAGCTCTAACTCCACTCCAAACTGTCCCGTCAGGGGCTGGCTCCCCAAGGGAAGTGCCAGAAGCTGGCAGGGCTGGAGCAGATTAATATATCTCCTCCAGGCTGCCCAGGTCCCTGCTTTCCCTGCCCCTGGTTAGTGAATGCTGCCCCCCCCCGACAGGTCCCTTCTCTCTCCTTCTCGCAGGGAATGGGCCTGATCTAGGGGCAAAAGCACAGGGCTGGCACTTGGGAGATACCCTCTCTATTCCTAGCACAGCAACCACCCTAGTTTGTTTTTCGGTGCCTCACTTTTCCCCCCATCTGTCTGGGGAACAAGGACACTGCAGGGTGTGCATAGCCATCTCTGCATGGGGTATGCAGCCATCTCCAGGGGGACTGGGACAGCTCAGCCCCGTGAGACCAGCCCTGCCCTGGTAGTGGAGTGTGGTCTGCAGTGGAGGCTCAGGAAGCACTGCAGGAAGAGCAGAGCAATGGTTAGAGCCCTCGATTCAAATCCCTGCTATGCCACAGATTCCCTCTGTGGCCCTGGGCTTGTCACCTAGCCTCTCCAGGCCCCATATCCGTGGAAGGAGTGGGGAGCCAAGAGGTGGCATGAGGCTGGACACAGTAATGGTGCCCATGGGCTACAGCCATGGGTAGATCCTTGCACTGGGACCCTCCAAGGGTCCCAGTGCAGGCAGGATGATGTTCCCGCACTGTACTGGGACCCCCCGAGGGCCCTCTATGTGTGTCGGGATGATGTCCCGGGCAGCTGTGACAGCAGCACACGTGTTGTGGGCTGTGAGAGCCTTGGGAGAAGCTTGGGATTTTTATAGACCCAATAAATATTTTTATATTTCTCTCTGCCCGGACCACAGAACGGCATCACATAACCATAGCAACACAGCCCCGCATCCCTCGGGCCCCCCAGCAGGGCCCATCCCAGCCCCCCACCCCCACCAAAGGGGCTCCCCATTCAGGACGTGTCACCTGCAGCTGGAGCTCTGCCCTGGCTGTGCCCTTAGCAAGCGCCAGCCACCCCCGGGCCAGGGGGCAGGAGGACGAGGAGCAGGTATGGTGCCACTGTCATCCTGCCTGACTCACTGCTTGGAGCCGGTCCCCGGTGGAAGCTTAATTGCCAGTTGCTAATTTTAATCCAACACTTTTAGTCATTGCAGGCAGGAAGCTGGTGGGGAGCCCGGCTCAGAGGCTGCCATGACCCCACTGCCCCTTCCCCACAAATAGAGTCCTGCCAAGCCACAGCCAGAAAGAAACCCAAGCCAACCTCCCTGGGTTCGCATGTGGAGAGTCAGCTGCAGCTCAGGCCAGCACTGCTCTTCTGTGGGAAATCAGGGCTTGCTATCGAAGCAAGCCGCAGGAGCGCTGGCCCCTGCAGAGCTGTTCTCCATGCCCCCAGTGCCTGGCACCATCCCAGCTGGGAGCCAAGGTACCAGCTCCTGGACCTTGGATTATTAGCCTGCTTCTGGTGGCGGGGCCTCATGGCATAGGGAAGGGGACCCTTGGCAGGTGGGGAAGTCTGTCTCCTTTCCCCAGACGGTGCTAGTCGGTGGGCTGTGTGTCACAGACGCCCCCCCCCCAGTGACAGTGAGCTAATAAATCGTCCCTTAAGCACAATCATTCCAAGCCAGAAGCACTGTTTTCCTGTGAGCCAGCCTCTGCTTTCCCTCTGGATTGCCCTGTTTGGATTGCAGTCTTCCTCTTGCTGAATCCACACACGGGAGAGACGGGGCCCTGATCTCAGCTGGGACTTCTAGTAGCACGAATGATGCTGACGGTGATGGTGATACCGAGTCACTTCCCGCAAACACACACAAGGTCCCACCTCTCCCACCCCAGCCTGTGCCAACGAAGAGCTCGGATCTCTGCGAGGACCGGATCGGGAATCTGAGTGGCAATTTTCCTCCTGGAAGGGCAGGGATATCCTGGAAAGTGACCCCACTGTCTCCTGATTCAAGGAGCCATCACTGGTGACCCTAGTGACAAAACGACTTTGCTGCACACAGCGGTGGCCTCGCACTGAACAGGCCCCTGCCACCAGAGCAGGAAGGGACCGGATGACACGGGGGAACTGAAGTCGCAGGTCCTGAGTCCTCCTCGGATGCTCTAACCCCACGCCTGCCTTGCCCATCTCAGGCATTCATACCCTTTATTAGAAGGCAGCCTGCACCATCTGTGCATCACCTGTGATACCAGCTGCAAGGGCTACTCTTCCTGCCTGTGGGATAGGCTGGGCTTGGTGATATAAGCCCAGACCCTTCATTTGGGTATTAACATCTCATGCCCTGCAGCAGCTCTGCCTTGCTCCTGCTTTGGGCCCTTGTGCTTTGCTCTTGCCTTGCCCCTTGTTTCCACTTCCCTGCTGCGTGGTCCGGACTCCCCAGCTCCTGACCGCTGACATGGCCTTGGCACGAATATCACCGTGCACTAGGAACGTTACTCAGTCTCCCTGGTTATGACCCCTTTATGCGGCCTTGGCCCCTGCTCTGGATGTCCTGCAGGCTCAGGTACTTGTTTAACCCCATGTTCCTCAAGGCATCCGTACAGCTCCTGGCTTGGAGATCATAACCCCCTCACCAAACCTCTCTTGGTCCTAGCAGCTAGCATTGGGGTGGATGTGGCTCTCTCTCCAGGATCCTCATTCTGATTCCCTTTACACAACTCCATGCATTTGGAGTCTCCGTTGACCTGACACACGTCCCTTTAAAGTCTGCCCGGAGGTGGGGACTTTTTGCACAAAGAGTGAGAACCTTTTAGACCTTTTGCTTTGTGGCTCATTGCAACGCAGAGCACCGAGCTCCAAAACCACATCTAAAAGCTGCTCTGAACTGTTGTATTTCCTTTTCGAGACCGTGTGCGTTGTGGGGAGAATGTGCGACCTTCCTCCAAATCTGACTGACCCCAGCTGAGCCCTTGGCTCTTGGGGTTTGATTTCTAGCCCAAAAAGCTGTCGCGACTGGACATGGTGGCTCTCACCGTGGCCTGGGCATACATTCATTCATTATTGGAGCAAAACAGTTGGATGCAATCAGCAAGGCAGCAAGCAGCACGAGGCTCAAAGTTGACTGTACTGCTGGAGCTGACTTCTCTGGGGAGCAGTAACTGCACATCTCCATTTGCTAGGCAGAACTGAGCTGCGTGGACACGGTTGCCTTTTGATGCCCATTGACCTGCTATAAAGTGCAAATCTACTCTGCCTTCTCCAGATCTTCTACCAGGGGAAGGGAGGAAAGCATCTGAGGATAGGAGCCTTCCATGTTCATCTTCAAATGTTATTAATCATTCAGCATCTTAAATGATTGGTAATGACCTCTCTTCTTGGGCTCGTGCCTTTTGCCAGCCCATTTTAAAGTGCCTCCAGCTTGGATGGAAGCTGTACCCACGGGGGAGAGTGGGTGAGGCGGGCAAAATGCTGGCTCATGCGTGAGTGGTTCCTTATCAGGACATCCCATGAAGGTGTACAGCGGAGGAAACCGGTGGTTGATACCGATCGGAGGAAGAGAGGGCTCAGTGCTCAGCTTTAACCACTGTCCCCACCCATGAATCTCACTTTACTGTCCACCAGCTCCAACTTGCTCATGGCCCTGGTGACAAGTGCTTCTCTGTCTGGCACGGGGCTCACACTGGCTGTTTGCTCAGGGTCACGGGGCAGGCTGGTTTGTGCTGCTGGCAGAAAGGAAGTGCTCTCTTTTGTCTATTGTGATCGCTGATGCAGCCATGCCAGCATGCACGCTGCTCGCAGCAGCCTCTCCGGGACAGCATGTGTCTTTGTCCCCACTTCAGCTGGTGCTCGGAAGAGGAGAAGAGCCAGCTCCAGCCTGCCAGCTAATGGAGCATTAGCTCAAGTGTATGCTGTTCAAGGCATGTCTACATTACAGAGCTTCTGCCAGGGTAGTTAGGCTGGCGTAGCTCTGCCAGCAGCATGTCCCTGTGGAAAGGTAATATGCCCAGGGAAGGAGGTTTTTTGCTGGCAAAACCCCCTCCATGCCGCTTGGCATGACATAACTTAGGCGGAACTTGATGGCAGAACTCTTCCTCTGGCAGAATCACATACATGTACAGCAGGGGGTTCAACACCTCTGGCTATTAAGTCAGCGGAGGGGTGTGAATTTTGCACCCTCCCAACTTACTGTAGCTACATCAGCAGTATTTTGCAGCACAGCAAAAGCCTGGAGTGCCAGAGGCAGACCTCTGCACTCAGCATCTAATTAGATGCCAGCGAGCACCCAGCGCTGCTTCCAGCACATGGGGCAGGAGCTGGGGTGTGCCCACCTGGCACGATGCAGCAGCTGGAACCGCTAGTGCCCTGTGGGCCAGATCCTATGCTTGCAGCCACCAACCTGCGGGCTGGATACAATCAGTTGGCGGGTCGAATCCAGCCTGCAGGCCGTATTTTGCCCGCCCCGATCTAAGGAAAACAAAACAAAGTGAGGGGGGCCTTGATGGCCAGGCCAACTCTGAGACAATCTGGAGAAGGCAGGATAGATTTGCACCTTAGCTAACAGTAGATTATTATTTTAATAACAGAGGAACTTGGAGAGCTTGGAAGAAGGGATCAGACTATGACACTGGTACAATGGGGCTGAAGCCAGCCAAGGGGGTTCAGGCAGTACAGCCCCCTGCAGCTACCGGTCCGAGCCCCTCTTGGCTTGGAGCCGTCTCATGGGGAAAGGGACTTTGCAGTGACAAGAGCCCTGGCTGCGAGCAGAGAGGAGGATGCTGCAGCCCAAGCCAGGAGGGATGAGGCGATCAGGAGGAGGAGGTAGCCACCTGGAGGAGGTTATAAATAACCCCTTCTGGCGCCGGAGCCAGAGGAGCCCTAGCAACGCGGCTTCCTTTCTCTTCTCGCCACGAGCGAAGCCAGCGCTCAGGAGAGAAACACTGCAGCGGCCCCTGGCCCCAAGACTGGTCACTGGGGGCCGAGCGCGCCCTGCTCTGCCCTCTGCATGCGGGCCCAGCCTGGGCAGGAGAGCTCCCAGCATGCACTGCTCCACTGTCAGCCCCTGTCATTTACGGGGAACCATGGTTTCCCAGCATGCACTGCTCCATGGCCTTCTCCTGTACTCTATGGGGGACCATGGCATCCCAGCATGCACTGCTCCACTACCAGCCCCTGTCATTTATGGGGGACCCTGCCTTCCCAGCATGCATTGCTCCACTGCCAGACCCTATAGCCTATGGGGGGGAAAACCATGGCTTCCCAGCATGCACTGCTCCATAGCCATCTCCTGTACTCTATGGGGAATCTGTGACTTCCCAGCATGCACTGCTCCATGGCTATCCCCCGGGGCAGCTGCCCTAGATCCCGTCCGTCCGTCCCCCGCAGCAGGTTAATGGTACAGCCCTTCCCACTAGGGACGATGGCACCGGCCCCTTC